TATATATATTTATCTATAAATATATATGAGGTGAAAGACGGAGGATTATCACATAAGACCAACATCTGTCTGGAGAGGGGTTATGTGCTAGCATTATATTGTGTATATATATATATATATATGAGGTGAAAGACAGAGGATTATCACATAAGATCAGCATATGTCTGTATAAAGGTAATGTGCTAGCATTATATTATATATATATGAGGTGAACGACAAATGATTATCACATACGATCAGCATCTGTCTGGAGAGGGGTAATGTGCTAACATTATATTATATATACAGGGGGGGGGGGTTATTCTACTAGACCTGTGATGTGTATACAACTAATTAGTAATAAAGTGTTGTGTGCTGTAGTAGCGATGGGTGAACAATTGGCTTTAATATGAGTGTATTGCATGAATGGAGTGCTATGTTTGGAATTAGTGGCGTGCGCCAGTACGATACTTGACATTATGGTTATATGATCATATGCTATATGTATATTATTATATGATTGTTTGATTATATGGTTATATAATCATATGTTGTTATGTTTATACTATTATATAATTATTTGATTATATTTATTATATTATGATATGATTGTTTGATTATATGGTTATATAATCATATGTTATGTTTATATAATTACATGATTGTTAGATTATATGATTTTATAATCATATGCTGTTATGTTCATATTATTGTATTATTGTAATTCTATGATTATATAAGTATATGTTGGTGTGATTATATTCTTATGTGATTGTTTGATTATATGGTTATATAATCATATGTTATTATGTTTATATTATTATATGATTGATGATATGCTTTTTGTATTTTTCTCTCATGATTGATGATATGCTTATTGTACGTTTCTCTCCGTATTTTTATATGGGTTTGGTGTTCTGAGCAGGAAACTGTTGCACTACACTATGACTGTACTACTTAGCTTTTCTTTTTTTCTTTTTTTTCTATTGTATCTGTATTTATATGTATATATCCAACAGATCCTTGTCAACCACTTTGATGTATTCTCTATATTGTTTGGTACGTTTTAAATATTAACGTTTTTTGTTGTTTTTTTTTAAAAACGAAATATCGCATATTCTCGTCCAATCAAATCACAGCTATGCCATCAAGATTGATAACGCCACATTCCGATGGGATAGCCATACCACTGGCCGAATACCCGCGAACGACCCGGAGAAGGGTGTTCTAAAAATAGAAGAGCAGAGCGAGCGGGGCAGTGTGGCTGAGAGCAAACATGCGGCCATGGGTGCTGTCACAGGTGAGT